TAGCAGAGAAGATGCCAAGCTCTGTTCAGAAGCTGACCAGCAGAAGCAGAAAGCACCTTGCGAAAACGTAGAAGTTTCTCAAGAACCCTGATTCATGCACACTTTACAGCTCCGCAAGTTTCTTTCCGATGCTCTGCAGCTGCACAGCACATGGTACTTCCACCATCAATGAGTGAGATACAATCAGTCTGTCCCCGAGTATTCAAAGACAGGTGTGTAAACAACCGGTAGAGTTTTATATAAGGGCTCTAGCGGTCTAGTCCTCAACTTGATTCAATGTTGTTGACCAGAAGTTGTTCAAAAATCATAGAAAACTTAAGGCCTGAGACATATGAGCCCGCTAGTACGGCTCACTGTCTGAGAATGATTTTGACTGTACTGATACCAGTCAGTGGCAGTGAATCGTGGCCAGCACGAATTTCATCAGGGCACGTCGCACATTGTGGATCCTCAGCGAAGGGGTCGTATTTGGTCGCTGAAGAGAGAGGAGGGGGTCGTATTGCTTTTGAGAGAAATGTTTTCATTTATTCACTTTTCTCGGTTTTTCCTATTTTCGCCACATAGCCCCACCCCTCAACGCCAGTTTGGGAAAAAGTGCTAGGAAGTTGAAGAAACTCAGGTGGAATGGAGAATGGGGGATGTGTGTGTTCGTACCTAAGCAGGAAATCTCGAGGGCGGGGAGGAGGATCGGATGACCGTACAGGACATATCATCGCTGGACTCCTCCTCGGAAGGGGAGGGGGGGGGGGACGGAGAAACCGTTGGTCGTATCCTACTTTCTAAGAATTTGATTGTATTTCAATCATTTTTCATCGAGGTAGTCTGTTCATGAGTCATATCCTTGCAATTATTTTTGAACTCAGTTCGCCTTTGAGACAACCTCCACGTGAACCCGGATACCGCCTGTATCTGTGCGTTGTTCCATACTTTTTTATCAGTAGTAAGTTACAACGAGCGAGGGGGGGGGGAAGCACAGTAGTCGTCTCACGACTTACCACGATCATGATTCACGGATTCGATAGCCTCCGATCCGTTGTATCCTAAAGGGTGGGTGCCCTACTTGTTTAGGAGGAAAAAAACGCTGACTTGGACATCAGCTCGCATCACGCCAATAGTTGTGTGGACCAGATGGCACTCGGGCCTGAATGGAGCTAGAGTGCGCGACGCACCCCAAGAGAGACTGCTAATCAGCTCTGAAAGTTCTATCTGAGATTTTCCAAATCAGTTCCAACTACTCTGCGA